CTATATTTACCTACCCCTTAACCTTAGCGTAGTATTATTACTAAGGGTAATTAATACTACTAAATTAATTCCTAGTATTAGTTAGTATTTTAGTCGCGATATATACTTACTATAGGCGTATATCGGTTTTACTAGAAGTTTTTACGCGGCCCCTATTAATAATATAGTCTATTTAAGAAGAGGGTATTATATATTATTTACTAATAATTTTTCCGCGACTAATTATATATGGTCTATATAAAGGTTCTATTCCCTTAAGTATAGTATTAAGTATTATTTAAAGTTATATTTCTTTAAAAGCTAGGTAGGGGTATAATATAAGGGCTTTTACCCTATATAAGCCTAGACTAAGGTCTAGGCTAAGTCTATATATAAGCAGCCTCCGCGCTTATATAGGCTAGGCCTATACTTCTCTTTCTTTTCCCTTTTATAGATTATTAACCTTCTTTTAATAGACCGTATCTAAGCCTACGCCTCTACTTACTTTATAATAATACCTACTTATACGCGCCGGCCTTTTAAGCTAACGCTATAATAAGTAAGATAAGAGGCGCTACCTGATAAGTATAGCTAGCGCGCGCGTACTAATATTAGCTACCGCCGTAGCAGCGCTTAACTTAGTTAGCGTAGAAGAATAGGGTACTAACTAAGTGTCTAGTAGGTCTGGTCTACTATGCTAAGGAAGTCTTCTCCCGCGGTGCTTATTATCGAATCGGATGCAGGCTAGGACGTTAATATCCGCGAAATTATGTCTAATTTTAATAGGTATTTTATACTGTTCCTACGGCGGATTAGCTCAACTCCGATATCTACTGGTGGCTGGAAAGCAAGCCTTATTAGAAATTCAAGCGAGAAGTCGACCGAGCGGACGATAGAATACAATCTAGACGATCCGTGGCAAAGTCGCTACTAGGATATTTTATCGATTGGTCACTGTCTTAAAGATGAGCCGGGTAGGGAATTCAATCTTACATTCCCTGACCCGTATGCTCCGGCCGGCTACGACTTCTTCGGCCATACCCTAGACAATGAAAGGGTGATCCGAAAATCAGGTGGCACCGTCTGCACAACAGCATATGCTATCAGTCAAACTGGTGCTGCAAAACTACTGCTTAGGTCTGCCATGGACCTTGATAATCCGGTTGATGAACATATGAGGAATATGATGGCCGATGGTACCCTAGTGACCTATAGTGTGTCACCAGTCCTCATAGCTCAGTGGGGGTATGTAGAAGGTATCGGAATGGAAAGCCGTGGTGCCAATAGTGATATTAACGGCAATGGCCAGTCGATTGACGAGCTTACGGAAATGAAGGGCTGGGATGGGTTATGGAAGTCCAATACTGTCTGGAAAGTTAAGGGTCCCTATCCGGCTGATGAAATGGCGCTAGAAGGAGCTGGGAAGCGTATTTTTCGAAAGGGGTTATAATTAAGAGTAAGATACCTATTGAATAGAATATGATCCTAACGTTAGAAAGATAAATAGACGATAGAAGGGAAGAATAAGGTAAAAGGGGCCACAGTTAAGCTTATTAATTATTATACTCTACTTACTAAGGAGGAGGGAGTTGCGACTAGGTTACATGACACCAGCCTCGACAAGGGCAGCCTTAAGGTCGTCCAGGTTCTCCAGCTTGGGAAGAGGCTTGCCTGCATTGAAAACCCTATAGTTCCCGGTCTTTATCTTTAAATGCGTCTTGTTACTCTAGCAGACGCAAGGACGAATATATGCCCATAGATCAAGAACCAATCAAGGACCTTTCAAGCTCGTTGAAGTCCGTCGTCTTGGCCCAGCGCAAGTCAGGGTTCTGGAAGTTGGTTCCGACTATGACGGTACCTTTCGGAATTTGGAAGTGACCGTGAATGAGGTGCTCCGTATTGAGGTTTCTTTCGACGGCCAACGTCTAGAACTCAAGGAGGGTAACATAGCCTGTACGTAGGCCAACAGGGGTAAAGGGCTGAGTTCGGCCAGAGGCCAGCCATAGCTATTGAGGCTGTAGGTTGCCGTAGAAGTTGCGGATCTACTGTAGCCTCTGTCATAGGATATATAATGTTGTTGGTCCGTGCCTACGGACAGATTGAAGCTGAAACTCGAGACCTTCACCTCGGGATTTACTTCTTTCTTCCTTGGCTCTAGATAGACAACTTCCAGGCGGCTAGCATCTCACGGAAACTTATTGCACTTCGTCACCTAGTGTCCTCATACAGAAGATGCCTACAGGAGTGGCTGCCTGGGAAGCTGCCATGGATAGCGGCCTGGGTAGAGGTTAACACTTGCAAACCCACCGGAACTCATCTTGAGACACAGTCCATTCTGTTTCGCCGTACCCATCAGAGTCAATACTTACTCCTCTGCTCTTCTCGATACCACTATTTAAGCGGAGTGCTTATCATTATATATCTCGGAGGAGAGTTGCTAAAATTATAGAATTCGTCCTTGTTACCGGGTTGATCAACTCAACGGAGGAAAAGCTTATTAAGCGGTCAATTAACTCAACCGAGGGCTGAGGTTGAGTTGGTTGCTTTAATCGCCACCCTAGGGCCAGACGAGCCGGTAGTCTTAAGCGAGCCCTTTTCTGAGGAGGTGCTTATTTTAAATATAACTTTTAGGCGATGTTTAGAAGTATGCGTGAACTAATTGTGAATTGCATCTCAATTGAGCAGATTTTTGGTGTAAGTAAAGTTGGTCAATTTTGTATGGGGCGGTGGCATTTTATAAGGAGCACAAGCACGACTAAACAGAGAGTGAAGAACTGGGATCGATTAATTCCACTGTTGAACTCTAAAGAACTCCTCTAGTGGGCTGTGGTTCCCCCCTCGTCCTTATATAGCGCCTGCCGCGCGTTGCGACTCCCACTTTGGTTTCAGATGACGCAGCCCAGGTCTTTAGGCGCGTGACATATTTTCGCTGAGCATAAGGTGGCTGTGAGCAAAACGGGGGTGTTAGGTGGTACAGAGCAAAGCAGTTTTAAGATTTTTTCTAGCCCTAAGCCTATAGTGTCTTTCTCTATGTCGTTATGAATAGCTTATCCTACCAAAAGTAGTTACATAGCGTTATTCAAACGAGGGTGTGTAGAGAACGATATAGCTTCTCTTAGAAACTATCGCTCATGCTCTAGCGATTATTAGAAGGGCTCTTGCAGTCGTAAGACTTTTAATTGTGCTTTTTATAGTTAGAAGTGCAGAATATCTTATCGACGTCATCGCAAGTAATATCTACGATAATTTATTAGTTTTATTCGTTTAGAGAATCTTATGCTGCCTGTATTGGGATGGAACGTACGGCCGCCGCCAGACTTGCTCTGTTCGGAGCACTTTTCAAGGCAGCTATCCATAAATTCCCTATCGCGCTCAAGGACCCGGCAGATAGCCTTATTGACGTCCGCGCCTTTGGGCTCATGCTTGCACTCGGGCGCTTCGCGGAGGCACTTTAGAGGGCAGGCGAGATCACACTTCGCCTGCGGCTTCTTCTGGCCGTAGCCGCCGTGCATATCGGCGAGGGCGAGCCCGAGGATGGTGTGAAAGGCTGGCCCGGAGTTTATTCAACAAGCAGGTGCCTAGATGTTGTCTATCTAGAGCTAAGGAGGAAAAGAAGCTGAACTCGAGGCGTAGCCTCGAGTGCGAGCTTATATTGCCCTTCTCGGAATGTTCTCGCAGCTTCTGGGTCCGCGGGCGGCCGGTGTTGCCACCGGGCACGACCCACCGGACCCGGTACAACCGGGTCCACCAGCCGGGCACAGCCCGTGACATTACCCCCCTTGTCCCCTCCGACCAGGTCGGCGTCTGCGGGGTTCTTGCGTTCCTGCCAGCGTCTCGTACCTCTCCTAGGGCCATCATTGGTCTTGATTGGCCCGTACTTGTCCTCGAATGCCTTCATCGCAATTGTTCCTTGCAACCACTCAACTGGCTCCCAAGTCGGCTCTGCGTAGCCCGTCCATCGCACTAGTGCTTGCCTGAATTCCCTCGTCCCCGCTTCTTCCATCTCGCGCAGAGAATCTCGTCGACATCCCACAGATTCGTGCCGGACTCATCTTGTACCGGTGGTGGCTGTGCGTCATCTACCTTTGGCCAGGAGCCGGATCTTGATGCGCCCGCCGCAAAGGTCAACATGAAATCGCGGGTAAATTGAGCCACGAACATCGAGCTCAACAACGTGCGAACTAATTACCTTCGTGACTGTGTACTTGTGATGCAGCCAGTCGAGCTTCTTGCACGGTCGTGGCGATCTGTAGTTTGCCATCGAGAGCCACACCTTGTCACCAACTTCAAATCGCTCCGCAGGCTGTCGCTTTGCGTTGGCAGCCTCTTCTTGTTGTTGCTGTGAGGAGGCCATCACTGCTTGCATGTACTCATTGACCTCCTGCAGGCGACTGAGTAGGCTATCAGCTCTGCTTTCCTCTCTATGCCTCGGTGGCTCTTCCGATTCCTCGACGCTGATGGGATCGACGTGGTAACCATGCTCAGCGAAAAAGGGGCTGATCTTGGTCGCTGCGGATTCACGATTGTTGAGTGCCAGCTGCGCGGCAGGGAGCAGTTCTCCCAGTCGTCCTGCACGTACGACACGTAGGCTCTCAGGTAGGCCTCGATCTCCTGGTTCATTCTCTCTGGCCCTCCGTCCGTCTGAGGATGATAGGCCGTGCTCAATTTCTGCGTGACACCTGCAAGACGGCAGAACCTCTTCCAGAACCTACTTAGCCAGTTGCTCCCGCGGTCGCTGACGATGGACCGTGGCATTCCGTGAAATCGGTAATGACACTGGAGAAAACGGTTTGCACACGGCTCAGCTTCCATGTTGTCCATCACCTCGAGGGTCACAGCCTTTGTCAGTCTGTCCACAATCACCCACAGGTACCTTGCCTTGCTCGGTCCAGTAGGCGGCAGATCTGTGATGAAGTCCATGGACAAATGGCTTCGGGGTCGATCTGGAATCGGCAGAGGCTTGAGAAATCCCCTTTTCGACTGGCGCCAGATGTGTGCTCTGCCGCAGGTGTCGCAATTGGCTACGTACCGGCGAACCAGCTGGGACTGCCCAGGCCAGTAGAATCGCCGAGCCACAATAGCCAGCGTACCTTCCTGCCGGGATGACCGGTCGCAACAGAGTCATGCGACTGCTGCACAATGCGGGTTCTCAACTGGTCTTTCTCAGCTTCCTCCTGGTTACCCTCCTCTCCGGATCCACCCGGCACCCAAATACGGTCTCTGAATGTCAGCCTTTTGCCTGCGTCGATCGCACATTCTGAAATCTGGATCTTCAGGCCCAGCGAGGGCGGGAAGGCACGCTCGCGATCGCGGACTGCCTTATAGGCTGCCCGGAATATCGAGTCCTTCGCCACCGTTTCGTCCCAGAGTTGCTGCAGGTCCGCTACCTCGAAGACCTTCATCTTCGGCAGGGTGGATGCCTCTGAACAGTCAGAACTCATCGCGTTGATACATGCTCTTGTCGATGATGGAATGGCACTATCCGGTATCAACTGTATCATTCTTCCTTGTTCCCGCTCGTCGTCAATGCCCTGTGGCTTGTCTTTTGGCGAAAGTCGCTTCGAGAAGAAGGCGCATGCGTGTCGACGTCCATCTGGGCCTTCCTGCGACAGGACGCCTCCCAATGCGTAGCCTGAGCAATCCGTCTCCAAAAAGGTCGGGAGGCTCGGGTCCCACTGCTTGAGCACCGGTGACTCGCAAAATCGTCGCTTCAGCTCCTGAAACGCCTCGTTCTCCGCTCGTCCCCAATGAAAGGCAGTTCCTTTCTTAAGCAGGGCATCCAGAGACTGCGTGATCTTGGCATAGTCGGGGATGAAGATCCGGTAATAGTTGGCGAAGCCCAGAAAGCTTCTGACACCCTTCACCGTGGTCAGGGCCTCCCATTCGCGGATGGCGCGCTGCTTTCGGGGTCGCAGGCGATTCCTTTCCCTGCGTTGACGATGAACCCAAGGTATTTGACCTCTTGTACCGAAAACTCGCACTTCGCTGGGTCTAGGTGCAGCCCAGCGTCGGCGAGTGCTTGGAGAACTCGTCGCACCTTAGCCTCATGATCCGCCTTCGAACCGCTCGAGTAGATCAGTACATCATCCAGGTACGCTGTGACAAAGTCGTCCAGCCATTCGCGCAATACACTGTTCATGTATCGTTGGAATGATGCCGGGGCGCCGCTCAGGCCGAAAGGGCACACGAGCCACTCGTAGAGCCCAAACCTCGTGCGAAATGCAGTCTTTCCCTCATGTCCCGGAGCCATGCGGATCTTATGGAAAGCGGCCACCACGTCCAACTTGGTGAACCACTTAGCCTTGGCCAGATTCTGCAGGGTCTCCGCGATGAGGGGCAGTGGGTATCGGTCGCGCTTGGTGATTGCATTCAGCGCTCGGTAGTCGCAACAAAATCGCAGCCCTCCATTCGGCTTCCGCACGAACAGCACCGGCGCGGCAGCCGCTGAGCTACTCGCTCGGATGAATCCTCTGTCCAGCAGGTCTTTCAGGGTCTTTCGCAAGACCAACAGCTCTTCTCGTGACATGTTGTAGAGTGGGCCCCACGGAAGGGGTGGCTCGTTGCCGTTCTTGTCAGGCTGCAGGTTGACTTCATGATCCACACCCGGTCGATGTGGCGGCAGCTTCATTGCCTCTCCTGGTGAGAATAGGTCGCGGAATTCTTTCAGCACTTCTGCCGGGACCTTCTCGCTCGGATCGACTGGCGGCTTCGGCTGAAGCGCCTCTCTATATCCGACAAACTGATTGCATGAATCGAGATCGCGTTGCACTTCTTGCGTCTCTTTGCGCGTCGACACTCCGCCGTGAATACGGCTGCCGACACGAGTCTTGCGCTTCGAATCGCGCGTATCTTGGCGGGCTCTTCCTGCCCAATGAGGCGTATCGTCACACCTGCCCTCCCATGGTACATTCGCTGCTTGGCAGCATCGTACACGACGTGATTTCTCTCCATCCAAGGCCGGCCGAGGAACATGTCCTGGCCCAGGCTTGGGATCACGTATGCAAAGACACGTTCGTCAAATCCAGCTGTCTCGACCACAACAGCCACGACCCTGGGGATATGACACTCTTCGCTGACTCTGAGAATCCCCCAATTTCTCGTGGTTTCGAGTCGACGAAGGGTATCCGCAGCTTCCGAACAAGGGCTTCGTCGATCACGGCATAGCAGTCACATCCACAGTCGACAAGGGCGCGTATTCGATAGCCTCGGTTTACCCGCGCGTTGACTAATACAGTCCGACTATTCATTCGTGGCTTGAACGCTTCCCAGTCCCGGATGTCTGCCTTTGCAGGCCCCGGCGCCCGCTTTCGCCCCGGGGCTAGTCTTTTCCCGCCGACTCGTCCTCACTGGATGCTGCGGTTGATTCCGAATCATCTGCGGCATCGGGCTTCTTCATGCGCGCAGCTTTAGGTCGCTGTTGCTTCCTTCGCCAGGAAAGACCACCTGGGCTGGGCAGTCCACGATAAGATGATCCGTCCGACCACAGCGATAGCAGCGGCGCTCATCCTTCGGCTTCTTATCGACATGTCGACGACCCTTCGACTCGTGGCCAATACGGTTGATGTCCGTCATCTTAACATCTCCGTCGGGGTCCTCCGGTTCCTCCTTGGGTCGTTGCCTTGGTAGCTGTTGAGGCGTCCGCTCAGTCGACGTCGGCTGCCTACCGGGTTTCAGTCTCTCCAATCTGCCCGCAATTTCCTGAACTCTCGCAAGCCATCCCTGGTAGTCGTCGGGTAGGACGGCTGTGACCAAACTCTCTTGGAGGCGTGCATTTATTGCGTTCTCTAGAAATACGATCTTTGCACTGTCCGGCCAGTCTGCTCCCCCGGCTTCAGCTAATGCCTGTTCGAATCGGGAAGGAAGGACGCGGGAGGTTGGTCTTCGCGCTGCCGCATAGTTCTCAGCGTGGCAGCAGCGCGGGATTGGATGTTGCTGTCCTGGTAGGTTCGGTCGAGGTATCGCATGAACTCTTGGGGTCGTAGCTACCCCAGGGCCTCCGCGGCGTAAAGGTAGCGACCACTTGCTGTGGTCGCTCGTCCAAACATGAGTTGATGAGGTACCAAAGTTCGCGATTTCCACTGTAGTAGTGTGCATCAAGGTCCAGCTTGTCTCGCATCTGCCTGGCCCAGGAGGAGTAGCTCTTCCGTGAGCCGTCATACTTGGGTGGGTTGGGCAACGGTTTCCGCATTCCAGTACCGCAGGTTTTGGGAGGGCGTGCCCAAGCCAGGCGTGCTCTCGCCCAATCCTCGTGCCACTGGCGGCGATTGCAAGTCGGCGCTCTGCGGCTGCGCTCGCCCGAGTTGCTCCATCAGCAAGGAAAGTTGGTCCTGTAGAGGGCTGAGAGTCGCATTGACCGCTTCTTGAATGCGTTGGTCAATCCATTGCTGCTGGAGACTTGGGCTCTCACTCTGCTGGTCCATCCTGACGAGCAGTCTGCAGCTTGCGGTATTTAGAAGGAGCTCTAGATATGTGAAAGGCTGGCCCGGAGTTTATTCAACAAGCAGGTGCCTAGATGTTGTCTATCTAGAGCTAAGGAGGAAAAGAAGCTGAACTCGAGGCGTAGCCTCGAGTGCGAGCTTATATTGCCCTTCTCGGAATGTTCTCGCAGCTTCTGGGTCCGCGGAGCGGGGCCGGTGTTGCCACCGGAGCACGACCCACCGGACCCGGTACAACCGGGTCCACCAGCCGGGCACAGCCCGTGACAGATGGTAACGATAGCGGTAATAGAATACTTCATTTTGAAGACTTGGAGTATATAAATTCGAAGAGTTGATTTATCGAGGCTAAGAAAGTTTGGTTGTGCGATTTGTTGTTGAGTCGATAGAGAGGAGGAGAGTGCGAGACTTAATATACGTCGAGAAGACGACTAGCAATATCTTATATTCTAGTTATTTACATAGTATATAACTCTCGAGTATGTATTCCATTCCACGGCAAAAGTAATGCCGTCGCAGGAAAGGATGTGTTGTTCTGTACAACTGTATAGCTGATTCCAGGCCCATACCACTCGGGCTCTAGCTATTTCCTGTCTTAGACCACTCGTAAAATATAAATTAGCCCTAGTAGCATTCGCAACTAAGAAAAAGCAGTAAAGCGCAGCTCGTAGTCTTAAGCTAGTAGCTCTTATTAGTAAGAGCGTCTCGGTCTACGAGTAAGCTCTTCCGATTTTCCGCGTCAAGGGCGAGGGCGAGGTCCCGATAAAACTTAGAGACAATATAAAGGCTTAGACTCGATTTCTAATAGGACATTCGATAGAGCATATAGTGCTAAGTCGCGTCTGGAATCCTTGAAACTAAGAGATAAATAGAAAGCAGAAAGTCAGGAAGTCTAGAGGCAGCTATATGCGTCGCCGAGCGGCCCAAGCCTCGGGTTTCTGTTGCCGATCTTGTTACAACAGGCGTAACTCAAGTCGGAGGGCAATCTCACTTGTCGTTCGGTGCGCTAGGGAGGGAGGGAGGCTGTATGTATTTGTATTATAGGAGCTGCTCTCTAGATTGCCGTCAGGCAGGTATATATCGCGACGGCCGATTGGGAGCGAAACCTAGAAACCCTGGGAGCGAGCGCCAACGTGTCATGTCATGCAGCACAACGTGTCAATAGAAAGCAAGGAGAAGGTGAGAATTGACGGAGGAAGAGCAGATAAAATGCAACGCGTAGAATCCAGTCTTGAGGCATGGCTTGTTCACCCTCCTTCGCATTATCTGCGTTAACTGTAGAGCATCTAAAGCTCTGGAAACCAAAGTATAGCGATGTCTATAGTTCGAGTCGAGTTGACATGGAGCTAGCTCCTGGGTGACGTCTCAATAAGGACCTCGAAGCCGGAACTATCCATTTACCCGTCACGGCCAGGGCCGCATCACTGTCGGTGCTTGGGCATGTATACCTAAATGTAGCGTTGCTGAAGTGAGTCTTGAAGAGGACGCTGTCTGGCAGTGCAAGTTTTGGCTCTTAGTCACTTACACACTTTGACACACTTTGACATCAGCCGTCGTCGTCGTCTCGGCGCCTTTTGCCAGGTCCGTCATCCAATCACCCTTCATCTCCCATGCACGACATGCTACCTCGGGGCCAGGCTGATCCCAGGTGGCGAATCGGGCGCAAGGCAGATCGCTCGAGCGCCGTGGTAGCCGGTACACCCACCACGCCCCAAGCTGCACCTGTTCTGTGCACTGCCGAGCAGATTCCCCCGTTCCACAAGATTCGCGAGCCAGACGACCTAGAGACCCTTATCTTCTACCTTCCTTTCCCTGTCTTCTTCTCTCTAACTATACCTAAGAATGCTGTAACACTATGCTAGTGATAATATGTTAATTTATTTTCTGCTTAGAGACTCAGATAGGAAGTTTATTCGTAGGTTTCGCGAATATTTTATCTATAGCTGCCTACCATCGTCCTATAGAAGGAATACGCATCGCAACTATAGATACCGGACACTACGATAAGGTCTATTGCTTATCCTATTGCTTTTTCGAGTAGTATTCGGAGCACCCTAAAGCAAAGGCATAAAGAGGCGCTACCTAAGTAAATAGTGTATTGCTCGCCCTTATAGCGTTTCGAGTAGCTGTTATTTTATCTGCTTCGAACTGAGCGCCGCTCCATCTCCGCCCCCCCAACTATATCGTTGATAATCGCTCGAGGCCCTCGTGGTAAGATATACGCAAATAAAGGTCATACCGCGCGAGGAATACGTCACCTAGTCCGGGTACCTCCAGGCCTCCTTTACCTAGCAAAAAGGCAAGTGCTTCCGCGAGTAGGTCCCCTCCGGTAAGGGCAAGACCCCGGTCGAGCTTCCCCTATATCTAGGAGGCCCTTCGTAGGTTCTAATATAGGCCTAAGAAGATATAGTATACGCCTCTTAATATTATCTAAGTCGCTTGCCTAGCTAGTTCCGTATATGCCCTCCCGTTAGATATCGTGGGATTTCCTTTTCTTTCGTTATACCTGCGCTATAGTTCTTCTACTTAGATAGGGTTGCCAGGGCATATAGCGGGAGAAGGGTAGAGAGAATACTGGCAGTTGAGGTGCTTTTCTAGGGGAGCATTTTGAAATTCTTTGACCTTGATGCTTGGTTTAGCTTAGAGGCATCCATGCTGGCTGGATTGAGCTGATGTGGGTGTCGATGATACCGGCCGAAGGGTAAGCGTCGGCAATATCGATGGCCCAGATGCCCGTGCAGAAATTCCGCGGCTCGATTCGTTTAAACTCGCGTTTACGCTTCAATACCAACTCCTCTCAGCAATCCCTATAAGATATCGTCAATAACACCTTGACCCACAGCCGTCTCGGGTATATGCGGCTGAGCGCTGCGGCTTTAAGCAGTCGTCGACCCGCCGTTGGATCGAGATCGAGGTCACAATCACAAAATTCCGATGGCATCATACGATTCTGCCGCGTCCAGGAGTGGAACCTGAGATCTTGTTCCGTTCGGCGTATGTATTCCTAGCCCGCCAAATGAGTCTTAAAGACTGACCAGTCGTATGGACAATGAGGGTGGCAAGCCGATTTACGAGCCAAGCATCGGGACGTCGGGGGTGGGGTGGCTGGCGACGGAGTGACGCGGCAGGCCGACGGACCTCGCCGTGGCCAGGGTGCGTCTTGATCACCGCGGCCGGTTGCAGCCTTGAGCCGACGACGCGGCATACATATGTGCAAGGCATGTCCCACAGGCGAAGTACGGAGTAAGAGGCGGCGAATCTGGCAACCGATGTGTCAACTCCCTGCAATGCCACCCCCACGCGTATCTTTCGGCATCCAAGGTGCAAAAGAATGAAGCAAGGCCAATGATTATGATTACGCAATATCTGATGCATCAGACCTTTCCGGAGATGGTGTTGAGAGATAATATACACATAAGTGACATGCAACAGGCACACCAAAGCATCGCTGCTTTTGAGGTTCGAGAACAGTGGCTGAGAATACGCTGGAGCGTTCTTTTGTGCAATGTGCCTGACAGCCCCTTCAGTCAACACCCTTGAGTAAGACGACCGCAGTTTGTACCAGACACGGCAAACCACCTGCAGTCCCACAATGTGGCCCGCTCTAGGCTGTCCGCTGGGATCGTTTGAAACCAGTTCAAGGAATGCCGGCCTATCTGAGCCGTCCTGTAAGCCGCAGCACCAATAGAGCTTACATATATCGACCGAATATGCATGCAAGTAGTACTTGAAAGAGGAGAAGCGGCTCGGATGGACGTCCAGACCAGTCACTTAATCAATATGACTTGACAGTTCTGCAGCAGTGGCATTTCTCCGTTGTATGCCAGGTATAAAGGAGTCGGCAGTCGTCCTCCTCTTGTTGTGCATTTGAGTCACATTGAGGTCTACCCATTTCCCAGGAACTCTACTTCTCTACTCCTTGCTCAAATCAACATCTTCCGCCACGCGAACGTGTTTTTCAAGATGAAGAATTTTGCCGCCGTCCTCGCCATCCTGGTTGGAGCCGCCATGGCCGCACCCACCGAGGCCGGCCCGGGCATCTGCCTGCGTGCCTGTTTTCCTGAGAGAACTCATTGCGCTGTCGGATGGGTACGTTTCTAAAGAACAGGGCTCATGCTTGGTTTCGTGGCATGGATTCGTCGACTGACTGTATACCGTGTGTTCTTTAGAAAGCCACCAAGCTTGTAAGGAAGCTCCACCTCGGCACTCCCATCATGGAGAATCATGAACTGACATCTAGCGATTCAAGGGCGAGTGCTGGACGTGCTGCACTGGAGGCAACCCAGAGTAGGATCGGCCGGCACAGGTTGATGGAGCGAGTAGGACGGTCGGGCCGCCGTGGTGTATATAGTGCATGTCTTTTTCCAATTCTAGCGGCATGTACTTTGCTTAACAAACCTACACCGTGCAGTCTCAACTCGGAAGCTCCTGAAGGTGTCGACCGTGGCCAATGGTGCCTCTGAGCTCAAGTCTTGGGCGATGAAGGGGTTTAGAATGAAAGGGACACAGTTCCGTCTCTGAGAGCTGCAAGGTTGGGCTCCACGCCAACCCAGCGAATCATGCGCTTCGAGTGATACTCCTCTCCAGCATGTCATGGGAAAATTACCCAATGTAAATGAGCTTTGGCAATATCTGTGTGTGTGTGTGTGTGTATTTTCCGTCCAGCGGCCGTAAGGCCGCTCAGGTCCCGGTGGGGCACAGGACGTGCTGAGCTAGGCTATCGAGAAAATCCTGCCACAGTAGGCCTCACCCAGCGCTTCTTGCAAGGCCTCGCAAGGGCGAGCTGTCGGGCTCAATCCCCGGAGACGGCTTTCTACCCTCCACCGGTAGGTTGTCGCTAAGCCCGTCAATACAAGTGTCCGTGGCTATCCTCTGCAGCCAGCCTTCCCGAAGTCCATCCAGCATTTCATCGGCTCTAAGGCGCTCAGTGTCGGAGCCTGGTGCCCGTCAGCGGGTCGTCCAGGCGCGTGGCGATTGCCACAATGGTCAACCCTTGGTTTTGTCCGGTCAGAATTCTCTCGCTCTCTCGCTAACGCTGCTGTCGCAGTCCATGCTTCGGTAACCAGGCGATGGAAATAGCGCAGGAGCGGCGGCAGGGAAAAACCCTCGAAGGAATCAGAGGCTGTCGTGCAGCTTGCCTTCAGGGAGAAAAACCTGCGCAACCAGCCACCGTTGTTTAGAAGGGCGGGCCTTCCAATACCCACAGCTCCTTGGTTCCGAAGGAAGCTGTGAGGTCCGTGTGGACGTGTTGTCGAGACCGGCTTTGCAGAGGAATATGAACTCTCCTAATGTCTTCCTCTGTGCTGTTAGGGCCACGATGGACCCGGGCAGCAAAAGCGCGGTCGGGTGGCCTGCAAATCCGGCCCCCTGCTAGCGAGCCGCTAACAGCTCTGACGGGGGAAGAATTTTTACAGGGGAGAGTTGCTTTGGCAATATCTAAGAGCCTCAGGTGCCTGGTATAGGGTAGGTAGCCGGCTGGAGATTGGATTCGAGCCGAATCATCAGAGGCTCGCTCAGTGAAAGTCGATGGGCAGTCCTTGATAAATCGTCGGGTCGAGCTGAGTAACTGTGTAAAGGAGAGGAGCCGAAACCATGCCCGTCAAGATGTGTCTTCAATCATCCGCGTGGAGCCGGGCCGGCATCGGAACCGCGGGCGCCCCACTTTTCCCCCGGGCGTCAATGCTCGCGCCAGCTTTAATTGCAGCCTGGATTCCCCGACCTGCAACTCCGCGTCGAGCTCGGGACAGGAGCCAGACAGCCCAGCAACCATGGCGTCGCTGCCTCAGGATCCGGCGCATCCCGAGAAGAAGAAGAGCCCGAGTGCGCTGCGGTCCATCGTCGCCGGGGCGACGGCCGGGGCGATTGAAATCTGTACGTCTGCCTTCCTCGTCTCTTGCTCGCGAGAGTCTCTGCTGATGCCGACGGCGCCCAGCCATTACCTATCCTGCCGAGTGTACGTTGCCGACCACATAGCTATTCAGCCACGGCCGGGCAGACCGCGGCGGAGCGCTGACACGCGAGCGCAGTTGCCAAGACCCGGTCACAGCTCAACAGGCGCTTGGCCGAGGGCCAGAAGCTCCCATGGCCGCCCTTTGGAAAGCAGTGGTATGCCGGGTGCACGACGCTCATCATTGGCAACTCGGCAAAGGCCGGCATCCGTACGTGGCGTCCTCCCCCTGGCCGCTGCCCTCGTGCGCCGCCAGAGCTGACAAGCACCGCCATCACCCAGGCTTCGTCGCCTTTGACCAGTACAAGAAGCTCCTCGCCGATGCCGACGGCAAGCTCACCGGCCCCCGGACCGTCCTGGCAGGCTTTGGCGCCGGCGTGACCGAGTCGCTACTGGCCGTGACGCCGACCGAGAGCATCAAGACGACGCTGTGAGCCATCTCCCTTGCCACACGAGGGCCATTGCTGACCCGGAATGCCTGCCACGCGCAGAATCGACGACCGCAAGTCCCCCAACCCGCGGATGCGCGGCTTCCTCCACGCCGTGCCCATCATCGCCCGCGAACGCGGCGTGCGCGGCTTCTTCCAGGGTTTCGTGCCAACGACGCTGCGGCAGGCGGCCAACAGCGCGACGCGCTTCGGGTCCTACACCTTTCTCAAGCAAATGGCCGAGTCGTACACGGCGCCGGGCGAGAAGCTGGGCGCTGTCGGCACCTTTGCCATTGGCGGCCTGGCCGGGCTCGTCACCGTCTTCGTCACGCAGCCCCTCGACACCATCAAGACGCGCATGCAGAGCATCGAGGCGCGCCACATGTACGGCAATACATTTCGCTGCGCCGCCCTCATCTTCCGGCACGAGGGGGTTCTGACCTTCTGGAGCGGCGCCTTGCCCCGGCTGGCCCGGCTGGTGCTGAGCGGCGGCATCGTCTTTACCATGTACGAAAAGGGCATGGAGCTGATGAACCGGCTGGACCCAGAGATGAAGTACATCTAGCATGGCTTGGGGGCGGAGAGGCAGACTTTCGGACGGGAGGCACGCGCCTGGCGTTTGGGAAGGCATAGAAGTGCGGATCATGGGATGCATGTGCAAGGAGCCATCCATAGAGACGACCCAAACTCGTTTGATGGTACAGGCTAATTGTACAGACGCATGGCTTCACCTGCGCATTCGAGGCCTAAACTTGTGCGTCTGCGGCTGTCTACTCGAGGCGGATCATGCCTGACAGTCGTTTGCCCAGCCTCTCGAGCCAGGTGCGTCGCGGCGCCTCCTCGATTTCCCTGACCAGGTCCTGGAAGTACGTCGGCTGGCTCTTGGGCTCGAGCATGGGTCCCATGAGCTTGTACTGAAGTGGGCGAGGCTGTCAGCAGCTGCTTCGAGTCGTCGAGTCCATGCAGGCGAGAGTTACCCGGTCGCGGAACTTGTCCTGCACCAGAAACTGCAGGGCGCGGGCCTTGAGAAGCTCCTCGGCCTCCATCGAGGGCTTGTAGGATTGGAAGCGCTCGTCGACGACCATGCGCAGGACATCTTGGAACTGGTAGTCGGGCCGCAGGTCCTGCTTGGGCCATTGGGCCAGGGCGTCGGCGTAGACACGACGCTGGAGAAGTCGTCAGCTTGGACCAGGAACAGACGAGCATGCGTGCGTACCGCTAGTGACCGCGACATGGCTGTCTGCGTTGACTCGGCCTGCTGGTTGCCATCAACAAGCAACTGGGAGTGGAGCGTTTTTCCATCGACGCATGATGCGATCAATCAATTATCGGAGCGCCGCACCGTGCGAGAGAGCACATCTCAGCCGCATCCGCACTCGGTTGAGCCATGCATCCCCCAGCCAAGCCACAAGTACCATGGAAGCGCTCGATGTCACCTGGCTAGATGTACTCCGTACTGTACTGATATCCGTACAGTGCTGTTTGTTGATGCCTTAGGCAGACAGGATTGCGGCGCAGTTAACCGGCCTCGGCTGTTCGCACTAGACAAGTCCCGCGCGCAGCGCATTCTAGCGGCTGGTGCAAGCGCCGTTCCAGTGAGTTCCAGCGGGCCCCCGCCCAGCCGCCCAGCCGCCGTGACCCAGTGACTGGCCTCTGTTTCGTCAGCTGGCTCGTCGGATCCTCGACGCCGAACCCTCTCGTCACCACTCTCGTCTCGACTCAATCCATCATCCAACTTGTCTCCTAGGCCCTCCTTTGTGCCCGTCCATCCCCGCTGACGCCGCCGCCTCCCTTTCCTTATCTTCCTCCCTTTCTGCCGACGCCATTTTTCGCTCCCCAATTTCTCTCCCGCGACCGACCGGGCTACCGCCCCTTGGCCCCTCGCCCCTCGCCCCCTTTGCCCTCGCCCATCTCCGCGCCGGTCGCAGAGACTCGTCGCCCGAGGCCTTGAAAAAGGCGGCCTTTCGCTACTGCTGCCCCGTCGCCCCTTGGCATTCGCCGACGCGACTCTATTTCTTACCATGCCTGGTCAGTACGAGAGGGTACGTGTTGTGACGACGGAGAAGACGACGACGGGGACGGATGCTAACCTTTGACAGGTAAATGACCGTGACGACGAGGACCCCGTCGACAGCTCCCCCGCCGAGCCCAAGGCTCAACATGCCGTTCCCAGCTCGCCGCCTCCCTCGTTTCATTCCAGAGCCTCGTCGCCCAATCGCCGCGGATCCGCCGTCGACCCTGCGCTTGCCGATGCCTTTGACGCCGATGACGCCAGCGACGACGATGACGAGGCCGACGACAGGCAGAGACTAGTACGCCAACCCGTCTCGCCCCTCACCGCATCGCCAGGTCACGATGTCACACGTTTCCCACCGCCCGGAGAACACGCGGATGCGCACGCTGCCTCGTCCGGCTCTCGCCCGAGACTCATGGGAGGCGGAATCGGCACCGATGGCGTCTTTGCCAACCTATCGGCGCGGCCGGAACGGAGGGGCTCTGAAAAAGAAGAACAACCACCGGTGAGTAATGTACCCACCAGTCGCTCTCGCTCGATGCGGTGCTGACGGGGCGCGATGCACAGACGTACGAGCAAGCAGCCGCCGACGCCGCTCCGCCGTACTGGGAGACAACTATCTTGGCGCCTGGCTTCGGCGGGCTAGACGAGGTCTACGTGGACGGCATGCCCGTCGGTTCCGTCTTTTCCTTCGTCTGGAACGGCATGATTTCCACCTCGTTTCAGCTCGTTGGCTTCCTCCTTACATATCTCCTGCACTCGACACACGCCGCAAAAAACGGCTCCCGCGCCGGCCTCGGCATCACGCTGATCCAGTACGGCTTCTACATGAAGGGCTCGACGGAAGGCGAACCTCCCGCCATGAGCGGACCCGACGGCTACGCCGCGCCACCAGACCCCAACTCGCACGACTTTGACCCCGGCGAAGTGACGGAGGGCGGGAGTGGGAACTCGGTCATTACGGGCGGTGAATGGATGTCGTACGTGCTCATGGTTGTCGGCTGGTTCATCCTGATCAAGAGCGTGGCCGAGTACCTGAGGGCCCGTCGTCACGAGCAGCTGGTGATGCAGAGCCCCGACCGCGGCCTGGGGGTACCGATTATTGCCGAGGGGGAAACTGTCGAGCATGTGGTATGAGATGGGTGGGCTGATGATTTTTTCAAGAGTACCTGGGCGCTCGTCCAAGGCGTGCCGGGAGGGGGCGTCTCGTGGTAGTTCAAGAGCGGGCGAATGGGGGACAGGACGGGACAATCGCAGATGGAGTGTCGCCGGGGCTGTAGATGGGACGGCGAGTATACATGCTGGCATACAGCGTTTTCAATGTAGTGACAAGGCACGCGATGGCATTCGTTCGGTTTTTTTGTATGCCGAACCGGGACTCGGATGGAAGGGGGACTTGGCTTGACAGCAGGACGCGCAGCAAGCAGACATGACATGCCCTTCTTCCCGGTGACTTTGTTCGAGTATAGGCGCCACTAAGTGCATGTGAAGGGACACGGGGTTCATGTCTGGCCAGCGCTTGATGCCGAGATGGGCGAGACGGCTGTTGACGGGCTTTGTCGAGGGATAAAAGGATATTTAGGACCTTGTTGATGCAAGCACCTGCAGGAGAGTCGTCTTTGGCGTTAAAGAGGTCTCAAACAGGGGTCGAGGCTGAAAGAAGCATGCCTTTGGGGGCAGAAACACCAATGCATGTCTCTACTAGCCAGTGTACCCCGAGGCTGTATTTGTATGTAGATGATCTGTTGTATGCTTATGAAATTGGACAATTCCACAGCGGGCGCGGTAGGGTTGACGTTGCCCAGATGATGATGCCAGTATATATCTGGACCCGGGGACTCATGGTGAGCCGTTCCCAGAGAGCATCCCTTTCGCTCCCTCAGTAAAAGGAGACAAGTATGCTCCAGCAGGCGAGATGGTCCGTAGCCATCGTTGTCGCTCGTTGCCGTTGGCTCGGCGGATTATATGGGCGACTTCAGTGGTGGCGAAGCGGTCGCCGAGTCGGTCGGGGACGTAGGCACCTGTCATGGTCGGCCTGGAGGAGAGAAACTGCGTGGCCAGAGACTTGCGGTGCCGAAGCTGGGGTCCCGGGTAGCGTGCGAGCTGAATTTGTCGGCAAAGATGCATGGCAGATCTCCTTTGGTGCTGACGGTGCGCTTCAAGGCACGAGCGGTGGCCGGGGCGGCACCGACGGCGTCCGGCTGCTCATTCGAGGTCGAGGATGTACGGACTTGCGTCCGGACAACCTCAACTATCCAGCCAAAGGTCACCGGCGGCCCCAGGGCGTAGGCTTCTTGTTTCTCCGGAAAAGGTCTCCGGCCCAAACTCTCTCCAGCCGTGAGCGTCTTTCGCGTCCAAGCACGGCCATGTGTCACAGAATGGCAACGTGCTTGGATCCTGATATCTGGCCGACTGGTCAACCGCCCCGATGCCACTTATTTACTTGGGCAGCACTAGTGCCGGCAATTGCTTGTCGATCCAGCCCTGACCTGAGGCTCATTCGCCGCCTTAGAGGGCCGGCTGCGTGCCTGATGCCCCTTCAGCCCGTTGGCGGTAAGATGTTACAGGCCAGTGGGTACAAGGGGGGAAAGACTATATCGCATCGAGAAGATCCGTTGGAGACGCGGAGGCAGGCTTTTATGGGCAGGGTGTGTCGGGAGGAGAACTTAGCTCAATCATCATCCTTTGGGACTGTGGCACCCAGTGTCTTGTGTGACTGAAGATCCAGCCTGTCGTTCATCGAAAGGAGGGACTAGTGATGACATTACCTAGTAGGGGAAGTTCATCTATTTAAGAGTTGGGATTAGGCCACATGTGCTTTACATAATTCATGGTAAAGCTTAACTAAATAAGAGGATAACCGGATATCCAATTTCTTGCGTAGCCACTTGCCGTGAGCAGACGACGTGTTTCGAAAGGGACCATGGTCTTTTTGGTGCGTCACCGGTCAGCTTCCTCCTCTAATTTAGACCATGATTTGAGGTTGACCAGAGAGGCGCCTGGCCTCAACAGATTACACCGTTACAGGACCCTCGCTGGCATCAGAAAGACCGGAATCCTCATTTGTGTCTCCATGATAACCTGCGATACCCATTACCACTAGGCGTGTCCAGAGACGATTGGCCCATGAACATGCAGTTAGTTCATGCGTTTGTCTACCTGCACTTGAAGCCATGGACTGTTATGGATGCGAGGCGGGAGCACAATGTAGCCCCTAGGACAGCTTTGATCCAATGGGATGTCTTCTTCGACAGGTGGTTCAATTGGTGGCCTCCGGCATTCAGGCTACCATGCAAGTGTGTCATGATTGCGTGACACTCCAGGTGTTCCCAACCAATCAGATAGGCAACGGCGACTACATCCTTCGGAGAAATGATAGCCATGGAATTGCTTCATCCAGTTATGGCTCAAGGGAACCCTTGATCGCTGCCATATGTGCCGCTGGCTGGGCAGCCATGCAGCCCAATCTTTGCGCCAGCCGAGTCCGCTTCGGTTATTTGTACGACCGTTGACAGATACTTAAGAACGGGCAAAGGTAGGCTGAAGGAGAACTTAAAGCTGTAACTTCCCAGCACGGGTCAGAAATGAAAAGAACCTGTATAAGCAAGCTCCGATCTCGAACCGAATGAATGGACAACTCAACGAATAACTGGGTGACCGAGTGCATTGCATCCCAATCCTTCGGCGATTACCTCACTCCTTCGGACACGGATACAGACAACTCCAGCCTCCCATCTCATCGTCGGTGGGCTTGGTACTGCAAGCAACCCGAGTGCCCCGGGTACTACTCCGCCTGGAGTCTCAAGACAAACTTCTTGCTTCATCTATACGAGACACCGATTCATCGCCAAGATGAAAGTACAAAGACGCGAGAGGGGCGACGTCGCTTGGCAAGGGCTTGGAGGGAAGAAACGGCATATGATTTGAGTGAGCCGAAGAAGAAACCGCCGCCTAATGCGAATAAGAATGGTACGCCACATACGTGATGTTTACAGGTTATGGGACGGGCGGTATACTGCATCATCTGTGGTTGCTATTTTCTTTTCCAGCCCCGCCTGTTTCATCGGCAAGTTCTTTTGTTGCCTGGTTCAATATTCTTTAGCAAATAGCTTCCTCCCGCTCTCAGACGTTTGCGCTACCTCGGCATGCGCCTTTGGAGATCCCTGACCATGCCTCGGGTCTTGTCGTTGGCATCGGCCGCCAAGAACTTGTTTGGCTCAACGGCCTTTGTGCTGTCGAACACCATCCTTTTGTCAGTAACAGAAGCGAGACGCCATGCACACGTGCCAGTGCTCTTCGTTTTACGTGATCGGGATCGTCAAGAGTTGGCAGGGACTTGATGTGCTGGGTTGATCAAAGCCCTTGTTTTCCCTTGCAAACCAACTTCCTCACACACACTACCATGTAAAGAAGCCGGATTACCTCGGTGCTGTGGATGTGTTTACACTGCCGCCGGCCAATACCGTCGAGCAATATTAGTCGCACACCAAAACGGCGATTTCAATCAACAAATGCCTCTATAAGCCGTCTCTGCAAGCCATGCCCATAATATTTGCAGTGGCCTTTGCGGCGCCTCCCCGTAGTGGCCTCGGCAGTAGACATTATGGTGGCCTCCTGCTATATTTGTAGTGGACTTTGCCGTTGTTATGTTCTAATGAAATCGTGATTTGGTCAACCCCCAGTTTGGGAATTGCGGACATTGGCTAATGTGCAACTGTAGTAGGGCGCGAGCTGACACGCGGTTCTGAAGCAGCCCCTCGAGCCCACCGCGAGCCGACCGGAGCCGTTGACAAAGCCTGGGGGGAGATGTATCGCGAAATCAAGGACAACGAAGGACATGGCAACATTGAAACCATGAAGGGCTTGGCGTGGCTCTCGCCTTCACTAGAGAGCACAATGCAAAGGAGATCACACGTGGTTGGACTGCGACGAGCATTTTGAGATACTCGCCAAATGGCTTGGCCACTCGCGACATTTTACGTGTATTACTCCATCTGGGTTGTTTGACCTTCCACGCCCAGACGCCGGGAGACTCGAAGCCAGTTGATGGCTGGTTGGGACTCATGCGGCGTAGAGTTTCTCTTTGCTCGACGGGATAAATCATCCCCTCCCCTAACCACCATTCTGCGGCCTGTCAAGTAGACAACAGGCGCCTTTGCTATATAAACCTCCCATTCTCTTACAAATAGCCAGCTTTATGACCCGATACCAGAGCTGGTCTTCAGCAATGGCCGTCTTTCGCCTTCCCACCAGCGACTGGGCACACAAGGCGATTAAACCGAGCATGCCAGTGCTCTCAGTCGCACCGATACTCCGCTACCTCGGCGTGCTATACTTCCTGCTCCCTTCGTTCCTCCAGCGAGGGTTCCGGCACGCTCAATCGCCTCCGCGTCACGTGTATTCGACGTCGTGGCTTGATGGTTTACGCGGTGTCGCTGCCTATAGCGTCTTTATCACTCACCATACCTCTAGAGGCCTATTTCGCCACCTTCAGATCGGCATACGGACCCGATGGAGCCGACCTCATCCAGCTGCCCTTCCTTCGCGCCATCTACTCCGGTACATCCATGGTACATGTCTTCTTCGTCATCTCGGGCCTCGTCCTCCCCTTAAAACCACTCAAGTGTATACGGAGCCAGGACTACGACGGCCTTCTTCGCACCCTGGCAAGCTCCATCTTCCGGCGCGGACTTCGACTTTTTCTTCCCGCAATGGGCCCGATGCTTGGCGTGGCGGTACTTGCTCAGGTCGGTTGGGCCGAAACAGCGGAACCCCATGCAACCATGTCGGAGGGGCTTCGCAGGGCTACAGCCCTGGCAAATCGATGCCCGTGGAGGTGCGCCGTATAACTACGTCTTGTGGACCCTTCCGGTCGAATATGCCTGCTCCATGCTACCCTTTGTCACCTTGGTTGGACTGATGAGTTGCTCAAAGGCGCATGTGCGCGTTACCTTGCTCTTAGCTCTTGTGGCATATTGTTACAGGGCCGGCCATTGGGGGATGGTTGAGGTCCTCGCCGGCATGGGCCTGGCCGAGATCCAACTTAACCGGACTCGGCCAATAATTCAACAGACTTGCCTCTGAGCAAGGAAAGCTCGGCCTCACCATCCGTCTACCAGTTCTTAGCAAGACGGATC